GAGGAGCAGGGTGGGTTTGAATCACTGACTTTTTGGTTCAAACTGACCTTGCAGTCCAGTGCATTATCCTGTGCTATGCCAGGACTACATTTATCGTTGTTCTTATACACCATTGAATTGGTACTGACTCATAGTGAAATGAAACACTGCCTGATCCTGCACCAACCTCACAATCATTGCTACACCTGACCCCATTGCTGCTGCCACTGTGCCAATCCATCTCATTGGGGGTCTTCCTCATTTTCTCCGACCCTCCACTCTACTAAACAAGATATCCTTCTCAGAGGCTAGTCTTTCCTTATAATATGTTCAAAGTATGAGAGATGAAGACTGATCATTCTGGCTTTCAAGGATAATTCTGGTTGTACTTACAACACTGATTTGTTTCTCTTTTTGGCAGTCCATGGTATGTTCAGTACTCTCCTCCAGCACCATAACTCAAATGCATCATTCTATGGTCTTCCTTACTTACTGTCCAACTTTCACATGTATATGAGGTTATTGAAAATACCATGGTTTGGGTTAGGTGCACCTTAGTGATCAGACTGAAATATTTGCTCTTCAACACTTTAGAGAGGTCTTGTGCAGCAGAATTGTGTAATGCAATACGTCATTTGATTTCTTGACTGCGGCTTCCATGAGTGCTGATGGTTGATCCGAACAAAATGAAGTCTTTGACAACTTCTAACTTCTCTTCATTTATATGGATGTTGCTTATTGGTCCAATGGAGGATATTTTGTTTTCTTTATATTGAGGTGCAACCCATAACGAAGGTTGTGGTATTTGATCTTCATTAGTAATTATTTCAAGTCCTCTTCACTTTCAGCAAGCAAGGTTATATGACCTACATGTTACAAGTTTTTAGTCTGCCTCCAATCCTGATGCTGCGTTTTTCATCATATAACTCAGTTTCTTGGATTATTTGCTCAGCATACAGATTGAATAAGTATGGTGAAAGAACACAACCTTAGTGCACACCTTTCCTAATTTTAAACCATTTGGTGTTCCCTTGTTCTGTTTGAATAACTGCCTCTTGGTCTATGTGTGGGTTCCTCATGAGCACAATTAAGTGCTCCGGAATACTCACTCTTCACAATGTTGTCCATACATGATCCACACAAGTGACAGGCTTTGCTTAGTTCATAAAGCACAGGTAAGCAGCTTCCTAGTATTCTCTGCTTTCAGCCAAGATCCTTCTGACATCAGCAGTGATATCCCTCATTCCACGTCCTCTTCACAAGCCAGCTTGAACCTCTGGAAGTTCTCTGTCAATGTAAGGTTGTAGCTGGTTTTGTATTATCTTTAGTAAAACTTTACTCATATGGGATATCAATAATGTTGTCCGATGATTTCTGCATTCCGTCAGGTCACCTCTCTTTGGAATGGGCACAAATATGGATCCCTTTCAGTCAGTTGACCAGGTAGTTGTCTTCCAAATTTCTTGGCATAAATGAATGACTACCTTCAGTGCTTCATCAATTTGTTGAAATATTTCAATTTGTATTCCATAAATTCCTAGAACCCTGTTCTTTGCCAGTGCCTTCAATGCACCATGAACTTCTTCCTTCAGGATTATTGGGTCTTGATCATATACTACCTCTTGAAATGAGAGCTCCTGCTAGACCAAAGCTGGTCAGAACTAGCTCTGCAGGTCTGGAGCAGTCCACACCTGATTCCAGATGCTGGGGTTGGTGCTGCTAACTCCCCACACACTTTTAGGTGCCTCTGAAAGCCCAAAGAGTAAGAGTTTCACTGTGAGTATATGCAGGTGGGGCCTGGCCATGCCTCTGGTCACCAGGGGAGTGTAGGGAACAAGATATAAATCACACCTTTATCTCTGTGAGTGAGTGGTATGTTTCTGCAATACCAATATGCTCTCTTGTCTCTGAGGAAGCTTACAAAAGCTTAAAATGGCCACGCTGCATCTAGTTGGCAGGCGAAAGTCACAAGTCTTTTTTTGTTGTTCTTGTGTCTGTCCAATTTTCTCTCCTAGCAAAAATTCTATCCACTTATCTGTCACTTCTTTCACCATACTTATTCAACCTGTATGCTGAGCAAATGATGCAAGAAGCTAGGTTATATGAAGAAAAACGTGGTATCAGGATTGGAGGAAGACTCATTAAAAACTTGCAATATGCAGATGATACAACCTTGCTTGCTCAAAGTGAAAAGGACTTAAAATATTTACTGAAGAAGACCAAAGAGCACAGCCTTCGGTATGGATTGCATCTCAATGTCAAGAAAACAAAAATCCTCACCACTGGACCAGTAAACAACAACATTCTTATCAATGGAGAAAAGATTGATGTTGTCAAGGACTTCATTTTTCTTCAATCAACTATCAACACTCACGGAAGCAGCAGCCAAGATATCAAACGACGTATTGCATTAGGCAAATCTGCTGCACAAGACCTTTTAAAAGTGTTGAAGAGCAAAGATGTTAGCTTGAGGATTAAGGTGTGCTTGACCCAAGCTATGGTATTTTCAATAACCTCATATGCATGTGAAAGCTGGACAGTGAATAAGGAAAACCATAGAAAAACTGATGTTTTTGAGTTATGGTGTTGGAGGAGAATATTTAAAGTACCATGGGCTGCCTAAAGAACTAACAGATCTGTGTTGGAAGAGCTACAGCCAGAGTGCTCCTTGGAGGCCAGGATGGCCAAACTTTGTCTTTCATACTTCGGACAAATTGTTAAGAGGGACCAGTCTCTGGAGAAGGATATCATGTTTGGTAGGGTGGAGGGTCAGAGAAAAAGAGGAAGACCCTCAGTGAGATGGATTGGCAAAATGGCAGTATCAATGGGCTCAAGCGTGACAACAATTGTGAGGCTGGCCCAGGACCTGGCAGTGTTTCATTCTGTTGTGCATAGGGTCACTATGAGTCGGTTCTGACTCGATGGCATCTGACAACAACAATCTATCACTTCATCTGAAGCTCTGGATTCCTAATTATCATCTGTTCATCTGGTTTTCAGTATGTTTGTTGTAGAGGATCTGTGTAAGCTCCCTGCTGAGCTGGCTATCATGTTCTTTCCCCCAAATACTAATTTTTAAACATTTCTGAATGCAACTTTTTTGAGTAGGAAAGTTCCCAAGTGAACTTCTCATATTTGGGAAGAGTTGCCATAAAGATCAATGAAATAAGTGGATGGACAGGGACCTCAGTGGCATTTAGATTTAGAATGGTTAAGGTGTGTGATATCATGGGTTAAGGTATTAGACCACTATGTTTCTGTTTCATTGAAATAATAAATTCTGTACAAAATTTGCAAGCCTGATGTTAAACTTTTCTTTTGGCAAACAGACACTTAAATACTTCAAGAAGGTAAGAGCCAGAAAATAGCTACGAAGGTAATTATATTTTTAGAAATACCTTTATTCAGAATTATTCTAAAGGTCACCTATATTGATAATTTCTCTTTTTAGCAGCTCAAATACTTAGGAAAGAGAAAGAAATTTCTCCAGGGAACACAGATCATTTACAACTTTGTTATTTAAGAAACAAAACACAATCCCCCTTGCCCAATAGATCATAAGTCATGCTAGGATTACCATTTAAAAAGCAATGACAAACAAATCGCACTTTTAAATGTTTAAAAGTCTGGTTAACATCAAAGCACAAACCATGTATATACTGGGATTTAGTTGGTTAGCTGTGGGTTCTCACTTGAAATGAAACAATAAAATGATAGAGTAGTGTTAAATTAAGTGGAATGTCAATCTTGTTAGACTGTTGTTTCCTGGGAAAGTTGTATGAAGATTACCGTAAGCATCAGTAAACAGTCCATGTCACTTGTTTTAGTTTGCTTGGGCCTACTAATTGCTGCAAGACTTCTCTTGAATGCTCTATAAAAGAAAACAATGATAATATATAGTACACAGTTATCAAAGATCCTTAGTTTCCTCATTTGTAAACTGGAAATTGTAATAAATATGATATCTCATAGCATTATCTTAAAAGATCATATGATATAATATATGATACACAGTATACAACAGAATAAAGCATTTAATTATTACTAGAAAAAAGCAAGCCAAACATATTTTAAGCAAAACAAAAAGTTAAGCAAAAATAGCAACTCACTTTAGCATATAATCGCCATTGTTAGATGAAATAAAGAATATTTCAATGTCAAAATAGTAAAATGCCAATTTCAGTTCAGAAAATCCACTTTTCTAAGAGGACATGGTAAATATATGGTGGCACTCTTTTTTTGCTTTATATCAGTGAAAATGTCACATATCAATTCTAGCCGTAGGACGCAATTTGAGAGCTACTGCTTATTCTTAGATTCCAAGAAGGGCAAAGTGTAGTTTATGGACAGATGAAACAATTCTGATTCTATGCTCTAATGACTGAATCAACAACCAGAGCTTTGTATTCACAGAACAGTGTAATACCATACATAATACTAACTTAATGAGTTCAAGTGATAGAAGTCTGTTAGAATATCATTTTTATATCCAAATCAATGGGGTTCACTGTTATGGCTCAGTAAAGCTTGAACCTTTTGAAGTTCACTAGGTACAAAATACAGAAAACAAAGATCAATAATAACAGGGAGAAAACAATAAGCCCTTTGGTCAAAAGATTCAAAAAAACAGGTAAGAAGATGGTACCTCTGATCCAATCTTACAAGTTAAGATTTTGGTCCCATAGTCCTGGGTGGCTAGTCCACAAAATCTGATGATAGGTTTGCCATTATCTACTGCAGAACCTAATAACCTAGCAAGGAGACAAATTGAAGACAATGACCTTTCACTGTACCAGCACCAGGCTGTTTTCACCATTATGACTATGCAGTAGATTTTGAGGTTAGGAAGTGACAGTTCTCCAATTTTGCTTATCTGAGGTTTCTTTCTTTTCTATATGAAGTTAGTGATCAATTTTTCCATCTCTTTAAATAAAGAATGATGTTGGAAACTGGATTGGGATTGCATTATATCTAGAGTTTGCTTTGGGTAGTGTTGACATTTTCATAATGTTAATTCTTCCTATCTATGAACATGGTACATTCTTCCATTTTTGTATGTCTCTTTAGCTTTCTTTTAGTAGTCTTTTGTATAAGTTTTCTTTTATAGGTCTTTTACTTGTCTTGTTAGATTTATTCCTAAGTATTTCATCTTTTTGGGGTGGCTGTTGTAAATGCTATTGTTTTCTGATTTACTTTTCACGTAAAGGAATTCAACTGATTTTTGTATGTTGATATTGTACCCTACCACTTTGCTGAATCTTTCAATGAGTTCCAATGATTTTCTTGCTGTGTCTTTGGGATTTTCTATGTGAAGGATCATATCTGCAAATAGAAAGAGTTTTACTTCTTCTTTGCCAATGTGGATGCCTCTAATTTCCCTTTGTTATCTTACAGTTTTGGCTAAGACTTCCAACCCAATATTGAATGCTGTTGGTATTAAGTCGGTTCCAACTCATAGTGACTCTGTATAGGGTTTCCAAGGAGTGGCTGGTGGGTTTGAACTACTGACCTTGTGGGTTTGTTGTTGTTATGTGGTGGAGTTGGTTCCAACTTATAGTGACCCTGTACAGGGTTTCCAAGGCTGTAAATCTTTATGGGAGCAGAAAGCCTCATTGTTCTCCTGTGGAACAGCTGGTAGTTTAGAACTGCCGACCCTGAGGTTAGCAACCCGATTTGCTAACGCTACCAGAGCTCACAGTGACCCTGTAAAGGGTTTCTGAGGAACAGCTAGTGGGTTTGACTGCTGACCCTGTGGTTCATATAGAAGTTAAATGGCTTTGTTGGGTTAAGAACCAAACAAAAATTAGTCATAAGACCTTTTAAAAAAACACCACCTTCAGCAGAACTGAACCTGGGCAAGTTTTTGTATCAGCAGGTGCTAACAACATTTATTAACTTGCGTTAATGACACTCATCCAATAAAGATAAAGTAGCTTAGCAATCAGTGACCAACTTTTCTAAAAGTAAGGAAAATTAAATGGGATTAACCAATCTAAGCCAAGGGCTCTGGTGGTGCTGTAGGAGAAGCGTTGTTCTACTAATCACAAGGTCAACCCACCAGCAACTTCTCTGGAGAAAAGATGAGGCTTTCTGCTTCTGTCAAGATTTACAGCCTTGGAAACCGTGTACAGGGCTGCAATGAGTCAGAATCAAGTTGATGATAGTGGATTTTTAGTGGGTAATCAAAGGGCAAGATACTTATTTACATAAGCAAGCTCTAAAGGGGCATTGTCTCTGTGTAAACTAGAGTTCCCTCAGCATTTCCACTTTGTGGTGCTCCCTGGGTGAGAACAGTTTCTCACTCAATAAACCTTTTTAACTCTAATCAGCTTGGTAAGCCAATTTTTTTCTTTTTACGCCTTTACAGTCTATTCCATGTTTGTGAATACTACGAGTCATGTTTAGATAATTATGAGAAACTGAAATACATATATATTGTAGTTTAATAATAGTGCATAAAGCAAATTAATTACTGAAGATATAATTGAATTAAAAAGAATTTAATGAGCTTAAAAATATTTTTCTGACTAAAATATTAACTGCTATAAAAGCTATATTTTGATTTATAATATTTCAAATAATAGCTTAGTTTGTTGTCTTTCTTGCAGAAATAAAATCAAAGTGCTTCTAAAAATTTCAAGACCTAATTTATAATGTGAAATTCGATTTAACGTCTGAATATAAGTTTTAGGAATACTTAAAAATAGAGTGGACAGGCTAATTCAGGGAATTTGATAAGAAACTACAGTGGATACTGTTAATTTGAGGGTTAAGTTGCTTTGAGGTAACTGATTGTAATTTTACATACTTAATATAAGTAATCATGAGCAGAAAAACAAAAGTAAAAGTTATATATAAGGTGTTATCAAAGAAGAATTGACTGGTTACTAAGAGTTGAGGGGAGGAGGAACTAAAGAGTTACTGCTGAAGGGGTAATGAATTTCTTTTTGTTGTTGTTATTAAGTGCTGTTGAGTCGATTCTGACCCAAAGCGACCCTGTATAGGGTTTCTAAGGAGCAGCTGGTGAGCTTGAACCACCGACCTTGCAGTTCAAATGATTTTGCAGTCTGATGCATTAGCCCACAGCACCACACCAGGACTCCTTTTTAGAGTGGTGTAAAACTTTGGGAAATGGAGAGTGAACATGGTAACACAACATGATAAATGCAATCAACAACAACATTTCTTACAGCTGCAGATTGGTTCTGGGCTGACACACTTTTTCAACACAGCTAGGCTTACACTTGGCCTAGAGATCCGACTGAGGTGGAAGTTTAAGACTTTCTCATGTCTTTGCTGAGCATATGCATGTTGCCATGAGCATTTGTGTGTGTGGCTTTGTAAATTCCAAGGTATACATGGACACTTCTGAATGCCCCATTTTCCCAAAGAAACTCTTTTCCAAGATCCTTTATCTTAACCTTAAATTTTATTTTGTGTCTCAATTGCCTCCTTTCAACCCAGGCAACTACAGGCCTTTTGGCCGGCCATAAAGTGCTCTGGGTTATGTCTCCCTGTACACAAACTTTCCTGCATTATCAGAGCTATAATGTTTATGATTGGCCATTGTGGCCAAAGAAAAATAAAGGTTCACAAATGTTAAGGGATTTATGTAAAGTTTCATTTCACTATATTTTCAGATTGCAGTTTTGGTCTTGAACTATTGTAAAAAACCTTTTCACATTGGGAAAATAACATTTAAATATTTTACTCCCTATTCCATAAAATCAGAGGTCAGAAAAATAATGTACAACAAAATAAAATGAAGGAGTTGACTAGATCAACCAAAATAAAGCCTTGTGCTAAAAAAAATTGGAAAAAACTTGGAGAAGCAAAGTTAAACAGAGTTCTTTGCTATATACTTCTTAGAGTCACTGATAAATTAATATTGATTTTGTGAGCCCTGGTGTGGTATACTGGACTAATAACCACAAGGTTATAGAGGGTCATTATGAGTCAGCATCAACTCCACAACACATAGCAACAACAACAGCATAGTGGTTTGTTGCTTTCCAAACTTTTCAGAAATTTGGTGTTTTATGCTAGCCTATGAATGTCTTCTAGAACATCATATCACGTAACATAGTATGTAGGTAAATGCAGGACTGGATAACCTTCCAGAACAAAAATGTTGTGATGCTATTCCATTATATTCCTGTCATTTCAATGCCTACTCCTACCACTTACAGCAGTCACATGAAATTAAAAGAAGTCATTTATTTGAAAGTGGTGTGGTTTTCTTTCTCCAAATACTAAAGCTGACTGACAGTTTTGCTTTACGATAAACCAATGGTTTTCAAAGCATGGTCCACAGATCCTACAGTCTGAGACTCTATCAGAATTGGGAGCTGAACTAGTCAATGTTTTCATTGTTTACTTGAAAGAATGACTGACAATATAAGGTTACACAGACCTGGGTATTTGGTAGACATTTTTTTTAAAAAAAAGGAATGAAATGAACCTGTCAATTCAAAGAAAACAAATGATAGTATTTGTTAGCAATGATAAAATTGTAGCTTTCAAATGAAAACAAAAGCTTTAGAAAGCTTTTAGCTGCCAGTGAGATCTTCACAGCTTCCCAACAATTTTCTGAGATTGGTGATAATATTAAAAATGCAATTTGTTAAAAAATGTACAGAAATGCAGGGGTAAGTGGGACAGAAGTAAATAATGATGCATACACAACCTTGGAACAACAGGGCTCTGGGCTACAGGGATTGAGACATGGTTGGAATGGGTAAAAGGGGGAATAATATTAAGATGGTTGGCTGTCTTTTGAATCTTGGTTTTCCTGGCATACCATTATAAAATAGCACTTGAAGGGGAGAGAAAGGAATAGCCAGAAATATCATAGAGAGCTGGTAAGTCCATCTTTAGCCCATAACTGATTGGAATACCTAAAATGGGGCTACAACTTGTCCAGTGAATGAGGCTTCCTGCCGAGCTTTGCACTACATTAGACCATAGGTGGAATCCTGAACCCCATCCAGAATCTTCTGAGGTGGGAAATCTCCACTTGAAAGGATAAGCAGACCAGCCTGGAGTGGCTAGAAGAACAGAAGACACTTCTTGAAAGAAAGACCAACAGGAAAAATATAAAACAATAACAGCAGTCTGACTGATTACTACAAGAACAAGCAAGTTGCTCACCTAGGAGACATCAAGGCAAGCGGTTGGGTGCCCTCAGGGCAAACCCCCTTCCAAGACTAAGACTCAAGGGGAATACATGAGCAGGTATGTGGTCTGACTGGTGACCATGTTGGTCTCTGATAAGGGGAAGTGTGGGAAAAACAGCAATGAAGCTGTGAGCTAAGTCCTACCACGTTCAATAGACTCCTGTGAACCTGGGTGGAGACCTGGTTGGCCAGTAGCATGGCAGGACCTGGGGACTCCTGGGCCCAGAGACAATGACACAGCCACAGAGGACTAGAGT